GTAGTGCTGCTAGAGCTGATTATATCCTGGGGCAAGAGATAGACCAGATGACTTAAGTTCCTTTCCCAGTCTATTTTTCTGTGACTGCAACTGCTCTTACTTGTCCCTTGTACAGGCAATATCTGTTGCAGTACCACCTATAAAGCAAGAGTACCCAATTTGCCATGGCTGAAGAGGCTGATCATTCCTTATTCTAGCCAGTGAACAAGACCGGAAACTATTTTTATTTCATCTGTGTACATGAATGCTACTAGCAGTGGTAACTCTCAGCAGAACATTATGTGTCTCCCAAGGGACAAGAGTGGGTGTCTAAGTATTTTTTGCATTAATATATATTCATTATTTTTATACAGTTTTTCCCCCCAGAGACAAAAAATACCCAATAGATACAAATAATAATAATGTTTGTTCAGAAAGGCAGGCAACAAACCTTTAACAAGTAGTGTCACTGTAAGCCTTAAATAGTAGTTGTACTGCCTAAGGCATCTGATAAAAGATTCTAGTGTTCTTGCTATATTGTGTCAGGCAGATGCATCAATCAAACTCCATAATGACTAAATTGGGAAATAGGGTATTGGGAATAAACAGTTCTAAAAAGAGGTGAAACTTTGTGACAAGCAGCCTTAACAGACCGATCTTGATTCTAAACATAGAAGCAATTTTAGGGCTTCTCTGGAGGCAAAGGACAATTATTGCCTAAACAAATAAACTAGTGTCTCAGTACCTCAGGCATTCACTCAAGTTAGTTTGAAACACAGTTTTGAGATCTGACTAGTGGAGTTTTGGGGACGCTGTAGCTTGACCCATTAACTTTCATTGAACTGTGTATGGACATCCTTTTAGATAATCCATAAACTAAACTGGAATAGAATAAGAAAACTGGAATGTGTTATGATTTTAGCACCAATTCTGCTGCCAAAGAAAATAACTAGGTCTTAGCTAAGATTGAATATATGTCAGGCTCTGAATTTGAATACACATGAAGACTGCACACTTAAGGTTCTAAAAAGTTCAATAAAAGACCTGAACTTCAGCTTCTACTTGGAGTGTTTATTTAAAGCTGTATGGCAAGTTGGCAGCAAATCTGATTGTTAAAAAGAGGAAAAAAAAAAAAAAGAAAAGAAAAGAAAAGAAGAAAACTAAAAAAGGCTTATCTGGCCATTTCTACTGTATTGTGCTGAATGCCTCATGGAGCCCTGAGCATACAGATTCACGCTTACATTCATACTGCACCATGTACCAAATGTTATCATACTATGACAGATGAAAAAAAGTTTCCCAAGGGTTTTTACTCCTTGGACAGTGGTTACTCAGACTTTGAGAACAATTATAAATATCACAAGGGTTTAGGTTTCCCTGAAATAGTTTAGCTTCTGTTGCTTGAATTTTACTCACACCCTCCCTCAAGATTAGTTGAAGAGATATTTCTATAAGGATTAACTGAGTTACAAAATTCAAATAACCTTTTTATGTGAATAAAATCAGCATGGTTCTCATGACATTATGATTTTAATGAAGTCTTGAAGCTAATGCATAATCTTATTTATGTTGCATCACCATCCTGTGACATTCCATCTAATGTGATTTTACTTTGAATGCAAAGCTATATCATCTTGTATCGTAGGCTAAACAACTGCAATGCTTTTGATGCAGTACCCCATAACTCCAGTGGTATGATTTAGCGTTTTTGCATCTGAGAACAACCTGGCTGCTAAGCAGCTGCTCAGTTCTGATGTTGTTCTTTATCACAAAGTTTTTAAATAGCTCCCCAACTAACAGTGTAACACCCTGTTTAAACATTTATATATGCCTGAAGAGATGCTGCCCATTCATAATACTGTTTCCCATACATATGGAGCTATGTTTTGTGTGCATAAACATACAATACAGATTGAAAAACAAGACCATTGTGTCCCCTTTCTACCACCTGAAGTGTGAGCAGGTTGCTTCTAATGAATTCTTTGGATATTTCTGGTTTTATTTGATAATCCGAATGCAGTGGTATTTTTTAGGAGGTTTTCTTCTTCCTTCTTTGTGTTTCTTCTGTCATAAGTTCATAAACTATGAACTCTATTTATTTTTTAGCTACTTCCAGTATTTCTTTTGTGAGTCAGTACAGATACTTCTATGTTTTACTGTCACTGTGTCATTGTAGTATTTTGTATAATTTAAGGAATGCAAGTTTTATTTTATTAGCTTTCTTTTTACTTTCTGGTTTGGTTGATTTTACTGTCTTACTAACATTGCGCTGACACTTCGGTTCTACATCTCCCCACTGCTTGCACTTCCTGCACATCTGATCATACTTGCTCTGTCATTATTTTGACAGCATAAAATATATTACCATGACCAGGCTGAGGGAACATCATTTATAGGAATAAGCACCCTTTCTGTACACATTCCTGTTGGATTTCCATTGAGTGAGTACACCTGTTCCTCTTAAAAAAATGTTAAACACTGCTTTTCCTACTTTTTCAACTCTAGGAAATATCCACACACATTCAAACTGGAAAGGAGCGCACTGTACTAGGATTACCAAGCTGTACAATACTCTAAGACTGGCAAAAGCAGCCATACTAGATCAAACCTATATCCATGTGGTGCCATATTCTACCTCCAACTGACTCATGAAAATGAGTAAAACTAGGTGGTATTTCCCTCAGGTACTTTCTCAGTCATACGTGGCTCACCAAGCAGCTAAGTTTAAAAGATTTAGAATTTGTAATAGAGGGGAAATCCAAGTTTTCACACAAAAGTTATCCAGTATTCCATGCACTTTTTTCCATGTTGTTACAGAAAACGTCTTTCAGTGCACTTCCCATATAATCACCTATATTTAATTTTGCTACAAACACAAAAAGAGAAAAGCCAGCAATGCAAGGTAATTTATTTGTAGGCTAAAGCACAATTTACTTTAATAATCTATACATAGGATGCTTTCTAAACTCTATTACTTATAGATGAGAAAACTTTTTATAAACAAAAGTTTTGTTAGATTAAAAAGTGGATGTGCACAGTTTGGAGTTATTTCAGAATAAAGTTTTCACAAATTGTTTTGACATTTCACATATTTTGAAGGTACAAAGACATGTTGCAACTGGAAAGGGAAAAAAAAGAAGTTTATCAGCTAATGTGCAACCTCAAGAGTTTTTAAAATCTTTTCTGGGAAAGTTAGGCTAGATCTAATTTTATTCCTAGGAGTTTGTTCATCCTGAGCATTAATTATTTGGTTACAGTACAGAGAACTGTTAAGGGCCTACATGAATAGGTAGCAGGATTGTATTCTTCTCCCACATATAGTTTGTCTTTCCTTCCATGTAAATAACATCTAACATTATACAACCATCCTGTGAAGTATTATTGCAGAAGGACAAAATTCATACAGCTATGCAGAGCAAGGAGCCTGGGAAACTCTGTGGCAAAACTGTTGTCAATGCCACATTGATAAAGCATTTAGGGTTTGTCAGTTACTGGAGAAAAACTGCATAATAATATATCAATAAAGCACATTTTATTTTTTTTCCCAAAATAAAACTATTAAAGGGATTTTGACAAAGATTAAACAGAAAACCAGGACCTTTATCTGAAGTATTGCAATGTGTCTTTACACTTTATTTCAGAAGTATTAGGACTATGCAAAGTACCTATTCTTTTTACAGTTGAATCCTGTCATTTCTCTTACACTCTTGTGTTCCTGAAAATCTTGCTGATCAGTTATTAAAAGAAATGGCAAATTACATACATGCATTCAATACATTTCTTTAAAGCTTCTTCATCTCCTATTCTTCTTATTTTTTAAACTAATCCTCTTCATGATCAGTCAGCCACTAGTGTGAATCTGTCCATTATGAGCAATGACACTAACACCCCTGAGGGGTTGCTGGGACAAGGGACTGATTGCTTTGGGGAGTTGAAATCAGGTCCTGTGTCCTGGGCCCTGGGCAGGTTGGAGTAGTTTCCAGGGAGTCTGGGAAAGGACAGTCAGGGCTGTTGGTGCCCTCAGGGACATGACAGTTACGTTGCTCCTTATCTCTTCCAGGTAGCTATTTTTCACTTCACATCCCTGACCTTCCCGTCAAATCCTTGTTACATTCAACTTCTTCCTCTTTTATTCTATCTTCTCAACTACATACAATTTCTAGCTCCTGTACTTATTTTTCCACTTTTCTTGCTCCCTTCTTCCCCATTTTTATTCAGTCATAGTGACCCTTTCTTTCATCTTCTCCTCTCTGGTATCATTTGTGGCTCCCCATAAATGATAGCAGAGAAACCCTCCCAACCCTCTCCAGGATTTAGGAAATCAAAGAAGGAGCCCTGACGATACGTGATTACTTGCTTTTGGTGATCTTCAGTCTCTTTCGATCCCCTAAACATTTTTCATCAGCTGTGCAGACAGACCTGACTAACAGCTTTAATTCTGCTGTCAAACAGCTGGCTTTTCTCAATTCACTCATCTCTTACAAATTACTCAAGGCACAGTCACTCCCCAGCCAACTTTTGTGGAGAGGCTTGGCCCTCTCAGGCTATGTTCACGTTAGCAAGTAGGATCAAACAGGAATGAAGACGAGGATTGAGGTATTTAATACATACTTGTTTGTACAAGTTTACTTCAGTGAGGACATGAGGAGAGCCCTCAAAGAGTTGGGAATCCCTCCTTGAGGAAGGACAGACACTTCCCTTCCTCCACTATGATGAGTCATGCCATGCTCAAACTTTCTGTCTTCACTGTAAGGAAAAACCTCACCTTGAAAAGCTAGCTGTACTTCAACAGCTAGAGAAGAAAACCCCCCATTCGCATATCCTCCCATTCATCTGAGTATTGAGAAGCCAAAAATTGCTCCTAAACCCCGGTTCAAAAAAGGAGCAGAAAATACTTCTTTTCTGTCCTTAAAAGACAGACAATTTGGGATAGAGGTGTTAATTGAAGGCAGACAAAGTAAGAAGTAGTGCAAGCACTGAGAGCTCTTAAGGGCTGTGCACTGTGATGAGAAAGTGGTTCCTTTGCTTGATCCCAGCTCTCACCCTATGCTCTAATTTTCTAGGCACCTGACTTGAGTCTCTGAGGTCCTCTTTGCTGAAATGGTAAGTGCTTACAACTGCTCCAGAAGCTTGTGGGAGTTAGTTTGAAAGTGCAAGATTCAATGATGTTACTTTTCCTTCCTACCTTAAATGGGGAAAACTTAATCTAGGTTTCCTTATGTGCAGCAGCTTTCTGTATATTTTTCTTAATATCAAATACCTGAGAACCAAAATACTTTCGTTTAGGTAGCCAGCCAAAATATTTTAAAGGAACTGTATTCTGTTTTTTTTGCCCCTTGCTTAACACCTCTTCATGGACTGAACTCTCCAGCCAGGTTACATGTTCTTCAACACTGTAATCAGGGACTCTTTAATAAAGCAATGTCTTCTTACTGCTGTTGTTTTCCTCAGAAAGCCTGCGCTACAGAGGAAGATGGGAATAGGAAGATTATGAACTACAGCTGCCTGAGGTAATATGGTAATATTTCATTACTGAACTATTTTAATTGTGAGCCAAAATATTTCAGATTTTGTTTACTTTTGGAGTTGAATTTTTCCACTGTTTAATTTCCCTAAATAGATTTAATGCTATGTAGTCTGAAAATGGGCCGAGATATCTCACACTGGACATCCAAAATTAATGAAGCTGGTTTTGCTTATCCCCGTGTTGCTGGTCATAACAATTGATATAATAATAGAATGGCACCATTTTGAAGAGTTGCAAAATTAAATTAATGTTAATGCGTGTGATACTGGAGGATAAACTTTGTAAAACTGTTGTCAAAGTAGGAATGTGTTCAAAAAAGATTGCTGGAGGTTCATAATTCTGGAATTAAACAGGATTTTGGTTGGAATTTGTGTATTTAATTTACTAAAACTTTGAGTTCATACTTCAGACATTAGGATTTTGTAAAGCTTTTGTAAGAGCATTGCAAATTAAATATAACTACTGAAAACATTGTACAGCATCTTTATGCAAGAACTCTTTTGAGTAAGCATAAAGAAAGTTTTTAACATGCTTCTTGTACTAGAACAAATTTGTCTTCATATATACAATACTACAGTATTTCATAGCTCTATGCATCATAGAATGGTTTGGGTTGGAGGGGATCTTAAAGATTATCTAGCTACAACCCCTCTGCCATAAGCAGGGACATCCCCCACTAGAGCAGATTTCTGAACGACACAAGCAATTTGCTAACAATAAGTGCGACCTTTAATAAGCTTATAACTGGATTTCACTGTTTCCAAGGTGGTGGTAGGGAGGAGCAAGTATTCTTACCAGCTGCAATCTTCAGTCTTTTTTAGTGCTGTCAGGCCAGAAATATTCACTCTTGGCTCTTCTTTGGGATACTAATCTGTCCATGCTGTGCACTGTCAGGTTTGGATTGCAGAGACAGTCATATTGTTTCTATGCGTTTATTGGCACTGTTATACCTGCTCATATGCAAGCAACATAACCCACCCAAGATACCCCTGGTTACTCAGGAACTGTAAAGTTTGGTGATGACATTGAGTCTCAGCTTTGGAAATGGTGCTGTTTTTAGTAGTAGCACATGCTTGTCTATTACTGTGGTGTGTTAATGACATGTATGGCTTTGTCAGAATTGTCTTAAAAATGTCTGTAAGGGATCTTTACTGTATGCATTTACAGTTCTTGCTCCTTGTCAATTGGAGGAGACACTACGGCTTAATAGGCTCATACACAGATTTTATAGGATGTCAGAACAAAATGATTTTTTATTGAGGAAGGGTCAAACAAGTTGTGCTTTTTGTTGTATCACACTAAACAATATAAGAAGCATGTTAAAAAAGCTCAGGGCTCTCACTAGAAGGCAAAGGCTATGAGAAATGATTTAAAGCTACATTATCCTGTTTCTAATTCCTTTTCTTTCTTCCTGCGGAAATGTAATTGCAAGAGGCTGGGAGAAGGGATTGGAGCATTGGCTTCTATGTCAGCCTTGAAGAGTCATAAAGTCTCTTTTATGGGTTTCTCTCTAGCCCATGTTCTACTTTTCCAAATTAGAGGAGACAATATGACAATCTTAGCTAGCTCTGATCTTACATCTTAATTTGCAAACTCAGCAACAATATCAGTGACCAACTTCACTGGATATGAGGAAATATTTTTGAATTTAAACAATTTTCCACTGACCTCCAGTAAAGGCCTTTTTTATAATTGTCTGCACGTTTCCTTAAAGACCTCCTCCCCCTCAAATTCAATAGGCTTTGATAATAAATATTCTGGATAACTAATGTCTGTCTCAGTTAAGATGTCTGTTAGATCTTAGATACAGAAGTCAAATATGCAGCTGGAAGTTTCAAACAATAAATTAATTAATTGTGATTCTTTCTGAATTAAGCACAGCAAACAGACACTATGAATAAACTTAGAATTCTGTGAAGCAGTTGAAGCTTCTTCTGAGAACTGGCTCAGATTGGTTTGTGTAACTTGAATAAACTTAAACAAATGTCATTATGTATAAAACCCCAACAACCCAACAGTTCCCTGTATCACTATTCCTTCATGTTTCCTGGCATCATTTAATAAAATACTTGAAGTTCCAGCATTTTGCTGCTGCTGGTGGTATACCTTGGTCATGACCTGGAAGGACCACCCACTCTTGTAAAAGAGAGGGTAAGTCTGTCTCTATGCTAATTTGATTTTAGACCTCCTTTGAAGAAAAAATACAGGTATCCTTCAGTCAGCTTCAGTCTGGGCTAAGCTACTTCTGTGATGCAAGTTTTGGTCTGTAGAAGTCACTTATAGCTGCATAAGGCAGAGGGTGTTTTGTGTGTGTATGTGTGAAGGAGAAGAGAAACTTTTATTGGTGCTTTTGTTTCTTTTCCCCTTGAAGAAAAGCCAGGTATTTTTCTACTTATGTTTGAAAAAATGTCCAAGAAAAACAAAAGCACTAATATTAGCCCAAATGAATCTTTAGTTAATGAGATGTGATTGATTACTTTGAAAGGAAAAAAGTAATATACTATGACATATAAATCTAAGTGTACTGGTTAAAGATCTAAATAATTTTATTTCCCATAAAAGAAGCACTTGTAATTAGGAATGAAAAATGCAGTAAGCTGATGAAGAGAAAATAAATTTATTGAAGTGATTTTGCAAATCATGGTTAATTGAGCCACAAACAAAGCATCAAATAAAGGAAATAATGTGGTAATTGGAACCCTCATCCCTTATTGGCATACATTATGGCTTGCTATCTTTTAGCAGTATTAAATCATTGTATGTGAACGTTGCCAAAAAAACTCTTCATTTCCTTTTAGTGACTTCTTACTGCCCTCAGCTGAAGTTTAATAGAAAAGGAAGGACATGATGTAGTTTTAATGACAGGAAACCCATGGCTTCCAAATGAATAAATTCCATCACTGGCTGCCACAAAGTGTGCTAATTATTTCCTTTGATAAATTAAAAGCCGTAAAAGTCCAAAGTATATAGCATGTGGTTTACAGTTATAGTCTGCCTGTCTGCATTATTGAAAGTTCATATAAACCTCATTATTTTAATTTAATAAACATTATAATTATTTTTTACACCAGTAGGCTGTATAGAAAGCATATGTCGAAGATAAACTTGTCTGACAGGAGGGTAAACCGTCCACAAAATGAATAAGCAAAGAACATGGTGTGTCATGTTGTGATAGGTCAGATTTTTAATGATACTTTTGAATGAGCAGATGCTTAAATATTTTTCAGCTTTATAAACCAGAGACTAGTGAACTAACTCTATTTTGTAAATGAGTATTTCATTCTGTAAAGTGTGCTTTGATGAACAATACAGTTCCTTGTGTTTTAGAACAGAAGCAAAGAAAGCTTGGGAAAAATTCAGGGAAATGTAGAGAGGAAAATGGAGATTTTATAATAAACATTGAAAGGCAAATAAAATAAAATCCTATTCTATCTGAAGGAATGAAACAGATATCCAACAGCGATGTAAATAACCAGAAGTGTTTTTTTTTCTTAAGAAAGATCATATTCAATGAGGGTCTGAATATTTTTAATGACTATTGTACTAATGACATTCAGGCCTGCTCAATACCTCACAGGATTAGACCTTAACCTTAATACAGGTAAAAGAAAAAAAAGAAAAGAAGAAGACTGAAGAATGAGAAGCAAACCCAGTTTTTAGAGGTTATGGAAGTTCATGTTGGGTTATGATTCTAAAACATTTTAAAAAGCAAACACTTTTAGGTTAGCCAATCAATCCAGTACTGTTACAGTACTGTATCTTTTGCTGTGTGTGATCTAATGCACCTGACTCCAACTGTAAACTGATTCAAATCTGCTTTTAAAGTGGGGAAAAAAAAAAAAAAAAGAGAATTTAGCTGGACTGTGTCACTAATTTTGCTAAGCATAATGATTCAGTAATGAGACTAGGAGTTTCTGGAGACATGAGACAGCAGTGGCATGCCAGAATAGAGGGCATAGTATCACACATCGGATATGTGGAACCAGCAGACAGATGTACAGAACTAGGTCTGGCAGGACCAGGAAAAAGCAAAAGACAGGCAAACCACTTTGCTCTCTTAAATTTAAAATGCATGTTATAGACAGCAATTAGAGATACTAATAAAAATTACAGGAATTGGAGCACGTATTGTTTTTCCATGGTATTGGACCAAATCTGTTGCAGAAGTGGGTATTCAGAGATCTGTGTCTTACAGCTGGGGAGCTGCAGCTCCCAAATGACTGGATCAAATGGGTATTGTTACAGATTATATTGGAGAGATCTTTTGTTCTGCTTATTGGTCTATACTGTCTCCTTAGCATAAGTCAAACCCTATGGACCAATACAAATGTACAGCTGGTCTGATTTGTGCTGGAGAGCAGCTTTCCTGCAAACCTATAGGGACTATTGAGACCAGTTGCCATGTATGTCAATGACGAATTAGTTTAGTAGTTCCGTGTGAAACTAAGGACGTATTTCACTTTTGCTTAGAAGTGTATGCTTAGACTTTATGAAGAAAATTCAGACTTGCATGTGCTACAGGGCTGAAGCCAATGGAATTGTTTTTGAGTGTCAGGGATGCTGACTTGATGTTATACTGACTCTATGTATCAGCTAGAAATTACCAGTTTCGTGTCTGACACTGCACTATGTTACGGGGAAATGTGTTATCCTCTGGAACAAAAAAAAAAAAAGGAAAAGTACCTAACTTTATGAGCAAGTGCCTGATTCTGCTTCTGAGAGACATTATTCTTCCCTTCAGTGAACTGAAATGGAAACATATCACATTTTTTGTTTGATGTGCTATACCAGCACTTTTCTGTCATTTCATTTTCACACAGTAACACAAGAAATGATTTTGAGGGAAATTGAAAGGGTAAGAAGTTTTCTGAATCTTTTTAGTTGAAAGGGAGTTTGAAAGAGAGCTGGGGGAGGTGTTTTAATATTCTTGCAGAAGTAATTGGTGTTGCAAGGAAGTGTAGGAGGCTGAATTCTTCCACATTGCAACATATTGCAGCCTCAGAAAAATACCATAAGTTCTAGCTGAAATATTCTTAGTTGCAAAGATTTAAATAAAGTCATTTGAAAGTGCCAAATCTGTGGTAGCACTTGCAAGAATATCTCCTTGAAGGACACTCTCCTTTTATGTTTATATGTCACTACTCCTCTTTAATAATAAACCTATGAAAAAAGTGAATAAAGTGCTATAAATAGCATATATGAAGGCATATTAGTGCCTGATTGGAAAATGCTGACACACTTTGAACATGCAAAGGAATTCTGTTCCTTTGCTCTTCCTTTATATTTTTCCATCTTTTTTTAATTAATGAGAGGAAGACAAGATTACTGCTTCTTTAGAGATTATTTCCTTCATTGAGTTTTCCTTCTGTAGTCATAACAAATCTGCTTGTAAGATGAAAATGGCTCACATATCAGTTAACTATGCTTATTTTCATGGTATTTTACTTGGGAGAATAATTAACTTTTTTATTAAGACTGCTGTGAAACTAGCTATAAAGACCAAAATATATTGTAAAATACTAGTGGGACTTGAATACCTGATTAATATTAGCACCATAGAGTAAAAATATTTTCTTTTAAAGATTTTCATTATCTTTTTATTATTTCTTCTCATAGTTGACCTTCAGAAAATATGTGCTTTGAATCTTAAATTTTATAGACATTGATTTTTCTCTTTGATAACATACTGTATTTAGAGAGAGATACATGAACAACATTTGTATCAGGGACAGAAAAACTGTTGTCTGTAAATTGTGTGGAAATATAAGACAAATCAGTCTTGTTGTACAAAGGCAATCTGTGATGGGCATTATATTTACAGAGCAGATAGAAAGGGAAAGACAAGGTTGTTGTGAAAATCCTTCTGCCTTACCATTTGTCAGGGGTTAAAGAAGGCCCTGAGGGAGCTGGAAAGGACTATGATCAAGTTGATAATCTGTCACTTGCTGGCTTTTCAGTCAAAGCAAATAGGAGTTACCTCTCTGTGAAGAGTTATTTCAGTTGACTATGAGAAACAGAAGGAGGAGGGGCTGTGGTTTCCTTCTATACCTGCAGGAGGTCAATGTCAGAGACACTGATGAAATTCTCTCCTTGATTTTTCTGGGCTGTTTACAGCTTGTGTAGAATACCACCACAGCATGTGTGAATGAGGGTATGACACAAGATCTCTCTGATGTTCTGGGGTAGTATAAATGCATGTTCAAATGTTTTCTTTTGTTTAGGCACTAGAAGTGTTCTTGATTTAAAAGCCATAAATCAAACGCTCTTCCATACTCTAAACATATCACTGCCATTCCCTAGAGAGCTGGTTGGGGCTTCTTGGTTTCAGGTTAGGAGGAAGCAACAATATTTTTCTGGGTATTGTGGCTACTTCTGCTCTATCCGGGGAGCACAGAGCAAGGAGATGATGAACTTTTGGTGTGTTTTGTGACATAGGTCCATCTTTAAATTACAGTGTCTATTTACCTTGTTATTAACTCATCCTGTGTATTTTATTTTCTGGTCATCTGTAATTTTAGGGAAGAAAGGTTAATTTTTATGGGGATCATAGTGTTCCTCCTTCATACCAGCAGTGGTCCACTTAAACTATGGACAAATTCAGAGAAATTTGAATTTCACTTATCTAAATCCTGTATCATACCAGTAGTGACTGTGTTAGCACAGGAGCTCTGCAGTCATCCTGACACTCAGTTGAGGTGTACTGAGATTGAGGACCTGCCTGCATGTCCACCAAAGCCCCATCACACAACAGGGCAGCAGGGTACCTGGAGAACCCCCTTGAGTTAGTGTGCCCCGCCCCCAGTTTTCTGAGGGATGTGATACATGGGACTCAGTTCTAGGAGACTTTCTATATGCAGCTCATAAAGATCAGCCATCTTTACACACATTATTCTTGTGATTTTGTTTTTGTTTTTTCCTGGATGTCTTTTCCAGTTGTTTTTCCCTAAAATTTGCTTTGTGGTCTATGCAAAGTGGTTGAGGAAGAGACGATTATTTTTAGGCTGGTCTTCATGCATTATTGCTAATTGACAGAATAGGATGCATAGTTAGCACACTATTTTCTCATTTCCAGATGCTACAGCCAACACAGGCAGTGCAAAGCTGTAGATGTAATTATCCCAAGAAAAAAGTTAGATGGCTGCATTTGTTGAAAC